CACACACACACACACACACACACACACACACACACACACACACACACACACACACACACACACACACTAAAGCTTTTAAGCATTCATGCTCTTGCCCTGCTGTAAATAACATTGTTAAATATTAATGGTCAACTTTATTACAAGTAGTCTTAAATCACTGCCTTCACTTATTCGTTCCAGAAGATGGTAGTGAGAATTAGGTTTGAGGATTATGCCCAGCTTTCTAGATCAAACAAAAAGAACACCCTGCACATTTTTTTGTGCTTCAGTGTAAACACAGGTTAAGTCATGACTCCTCACAGTTTCAGACTGGGCCCAGGTGTGCAGTCACAGCCTGTCCAGGTGTCCCATACAACACTGTGGAGTCTAGAGGGCTCACATCACTCCACCTTTTGTCTTTAGGTAGTGGATCCAGCTATAACTCCATAATCTGAGAAAGTTTAAATTTGCAGGGGGTGTATGTGAACAGCAGAAAATGAAACAATTGAATGCAACTTAAAATGTACGTGAAATGTGCTCCTARCTGCTGTGAACAATTAGATGTTTTGATGCACAAGTACATAGCAATGCCTCATTGCACTAAGAAATCTAGAAATATCAATTTGGACAGGCCTGGAATAGTAATAAATTATAATGAAATAAATTACTTAAATTGAAAATGAGACTTTAACATAGAAAACATATAGAAGTCATGGATTTAGAAGGAATCAAGTTACACAATATCAGGAAGACCTGCAGTTACAAAAGTAGCATTGGATTTGGSGATGACAATATTTGTTGCAATAAATCCACATTATTCCTCATGCTGTCATCACAGCATTCATAAAACTMTTTATGTGTCTTTATTGCTACAGCCTCTATCATCTAAAGCTGCTGCAGATGTTCAGGCCAGTAGGGGTCCATCTGATTGCCAAGTACATGGTTTCCAGAATTTATAGCAACTCTTTACAATGTTAATGTTGCACACACTGACATTACGGTGATGATAATTTTTTATTATACCAATAAACAAATACATAAATAAGTGGGTATAACTATTAAATGTGGTATAAATTCAGCAAGTCACTTTTTAAAAATGTTCACATTTTTTCTTTGCATCACTCATGAAGTAAATAAAAAATAAAACACACTACAATACTTTGGGAAGAGGTATTCTCATTAAGGCCCATGTTCATAGTAAAGTTGSTAAATAAACTGGTTTGTGCTCACTTATAAGCATTAACTTTGACTTTGTTTTAACTCTGTAGAAAACAGAAAATTTAACATTTTTTCCCTACAAAGTCAGGATTTATTATAGCTACATGTTTTAAGTGTATTGTGTATTTCTGATATATATAAAAAATGTTGAAATATCTATTTTAATTTAGAGTTTAGATAATGCACTGAATTATATTTTTATTTTATATATTTTTTTTTGCAGCACCTGACTGCTTTGGTACTGATGGGAACATTATCGTCATCATCAAACTTTGCTAAAAGGCCAAAAATAATTTAATAGTTGTAAACACTTATGCACAATATAAATATTTTAACCATATTATGTTTTTAGTCCCAGTGAAAGGAACAAAAAGGTATGTTACAGTTTAAACCTGACAAAAATAATGTTCCAAATTTGCAAAAGTTATTAAACATAAATGGGCACAGAGATAAAAAGCCGGAATGTAATGAAGCCAAAAGGTTTTGTTGTTATTCTTGAGTKTATTGTAAATAAATGTATTTTCCAGTATGTGTTGTAAAAAAAGAACTGARTCAGATTGAATCAGTATGTATCAGCTTGTAGGTACTTCAGTTTGTCACTTCTTTGCACATATTCTAYAGTAACACTACAAAGGTTTGTGCATCTTGCTCCAAAGTGTTATTCTCTTCTTTCTGTCTTTTTGCTTCACATACAGTACACACACATGCACACACACATGCAGACATGCACAWATGCACATGCACAATCCCACACATGCACATGCTGGTGCTAACACAGGGAAAGCTGTAACTCAACTTCAAAGGGAAACCTGAGAGGGTCATGAATAATCACAGACATCTTTGTCTGCGGGGGGAAACAGCACTGTCCATCTGCCCTCCATACACATAGGGACACTAGTTCATATCACTAAGGCTGTTTCAGCACAACTACTACACTTCTTAAGMTAAATGGTCAAACAAGTTGGACCGTATTCATTTAGTCCAAAGCTACAAATWTGATCAGTTTTGGGGTAATGATGCAACATCATAAAGATCCTACAGGCATCTAGTAAGCAGGTCAAACCAAACTATTAACACAGATAAAGTTGCAGATTAGAAGCCAAAGGAAGGATTTATATACATATATTGATTTGTAAAGATCTGTGCATGATACTGTAAGTTTCTATTTGTGTTTATTGCTTAAAATGAGGACATAAGTAATATTTTTAGTCAATATTTTCCAGCGTTAACAAAAAGGCAAAGTACAGGAACCATTGAGAAGTTCTCCAGATACAGACTGGTGGATTTTTCTCTTCCCACTTCTTGTGAAACAACAGAAAGGTCAACTTCCCATCTGGGATGCACTTGCAGCCAAAATCAGAATTTTTTTTGAAATTGTTGTTCAAAAAGACCAAAAAAAAAAAGTTTCATTTTTTACAGCTTTACTATCTGGGCTAAGCTCAAACTTTTGATCTTTCCCTTTTTTTCCCTTTTAAATCCAACACACATGTGCAGAACTGCAGCTGTTCTTGCAAAAAAAAAAAAACAAACAAAAAAAAACAATCAATATGTGCAAGTAACAAAACATACGCTAAACTGTGAGGCTTCTGTTGTTTGTTGTTGTTGTTCTGACATTTCTTCAAGCCCTTTTCAAAATAATTTCCCATTTTTCTCAAGAGAGATTCAGATCAGATTCAAAGAGCAGGGATCACATCGCCGAATCTGAAAGTCATTCTTAGAATTTTTGGTGAGTAATGTTGGTTTATGAGCGTAAACGTTCGAGATGACATTCTTCTTGTCAAATCTCGAGAGGAATTCCCTTGTAGGAGTGGCAGCCATAAGGACTGCATTTAGCCTATGAGATTGCTTCAGCACAAACACACATTTACAAATATCAGTTTAAAAACAACAACAACAACAACAACAACAGAAAGACCTATAGGCCCCACCCACAGATAACCTCACTAACTTCACGTTTGACACTGGAGCTCATCAGAATCTACAAGTCTTTTGAGGGTTGTGTAACACGAGTGGAGAGAAAGACAGAAAAAGAGGTGGGGGGGACGGAGAGACAAGGTAACCTGATGTCCCAGGAGTTTACTGAGCAGTAAACGAGTTTCCATTGAAGTTTGGAGACCCCCCATTTTTTTCTACTCCTCTCTTCTATTCTCACTCTCCTCCCTTTGCTTTGACCTTCTCTATGCACCCTCTCCTTCTGAAATTACCTGGAAAATAAAAATTGGAAAAATGTTGCCTCCACATGAAAAGGCAAACTTTAAGCAATGAGTTCTTGTATTTTTTTTTTGATACCTCCTCCAGAGTGTTGTAGCCAGCTGCAGTTTTCTTTTTCACCCCTCTAAAGAGGGGGCTGAAAATAAATTCACAGGCTCCACTTGAACTTGATGACAGGTAAGAAAGAAAAGGGCTCAGATTTGAAGATAAACTCTGGTTTTCGGTTGACACACACACTTTTACAAACAACAAAACTCACCACCCTGCAAAGCTCCTTGTCCTCTCTTCCAGGTGAGGTAAAAAAAGAGGAAAAAATTAAAACAAAAAAAAACAAAAAAACAAAACAAACTTCAATATTCCACCTCACTGTTTTTGAGGTCTGGAGTGAAATGATCCCAAAGTCAAAATCCCGCTCCTGCTTTTCAAAGCTGTGCATCAGGGTCTTGGGCCATCCACTTCTGTCTGTCTCCCTCCCACACTCTCAGAGAAATGGATTGTTCTGAAAGTTTAGAGAGGAGTCCCAAAGCTCTTCCCTCCTCTTCCTGTGTTCAGGTCCTAGTGCCTACCTTTTCCACTTACTGGTTACTTTCATCATAATAAAATAATAAATAAATAAAGCTGCCCTTAATATACAACTTCCAGCCAGAGTTGAGTAATGTGTCATACCAAATATTTCCAAATATTGCACCGGTATTACAATCATTAAATATCTGCTGCCAAGTATTTCTTCATTCATTTGATGCTCTTGGCTTTGTGAAAAGCAGTAAAGAAAAATTTAGACTTTTTTAATGAATAGGAAAATTTAACTTTTTGTACTTTTTACAGTGACTTCTAATTTGAGAACCCAAAATAACGCAGGACACCAGTCCAGTTCTCAGACATGAACATTCATTAGCTCATAAAATTGATCCCATCACACTGTGACCCATATTACATTCTCCACATGATGGCCACTGGCAGTTCGCCTCATTCATTATAAAACAAAAACAGTTAAGAGTATCTGCAAAACCGATTTACGCCTCCTGAAAATGACATAATTTCAGGAGGAGACATGACCTCACTGAAGGTGACAGTTTTCAAACAAGGAATCTTTGAAGTATTAAATGTTGAAACATTATGTGTTTGATTGTGTTGTATTTGTGAAGCATAGATAATCGCTAAAAAAACAAATTGTTCTCACAACAATCTTAATCACAGTGTAAAAATAAACTTATTACACATTGGTTATAAAATATTCTAACCATCTCAATCATAAATATGTTAATGTGAAATGCAATTAAGACTCAATATAAGTAAATCAATACATTTCTTACATGGCTAACCTAACTGCCAGCATCATGACTTATAGACAAGTGTTTTCTCCACTACCCTGTTAATTTTAAAGCCTCGTAGATAACTTATAATAAAACATAAGACAAATCTACCAAGGGGTTCATTATACAACTTTTCATGGTAATGTCAAAGTCTGGAAAGGAGATGAAAGCAGCAAATTTTGAAGTCAACATAAGGGAGTTTCTAACAATAAATAAAGCTGGTGAAGTCATCAGGTCACTCATGAAAGAACTAGCAGAAGCAGAGCTGATTGGCCATTTTGGAGAACCTTTAATTTACAAAGATTAGCTTCCATGGTTGTAATCTGACAGTGCTGTTTGTTTTTTTATGTGTGCCACGCTCTCCTCAGGGATGGAGCTAAGACCCCTTCTGAGATGAATGATACTTTCTAATGTTATGAACCTTTTGTTCCATCTGTTTCTTACTGTATTTTATGATTATTGAAGCACTTTGTTTCATGAGGTAATAGCAATAAAAATTAAAGGCGGCTATTTTGCTAAACSAACTTTCTTTTACTTAATGTCATGTCATAATGTCCTTCCCTCATCCAAAAAAAAACATACCTTGATTGTTGCTTTGACTTGTTCATGCATGTTAGATCCCCCGTTCCAGCTGTCTCAGTCGTTGTGTCCTTGGGCAAGACGCTTTACTCATCTTGCCTACTGATGATGGTCAGAGGGTCCGGTGGCACTGGTGCATGGCAGCCCCACCTCTGTCAGTGTGCCCCAGGGCAGCTGTGGCTACAATRTAGTTTGCCATCATCAGTGTGTGAATGTGAGTGTGAATGGGTGAAYGTCTGTAAGTATAAAGTGTTTTGGAGTCTAGAGGGACTTGATAAAGTGTTGTATAAGTTCAGTCCATTTACCATTTAGATAAATCCTTGAATCTCCTGTGGTAGCCATGTGTGAGGCTACCTAAACGTTTGTTGGTACAAAGCACCGCCTATTTGTACATAGCTCCTCCCTGGAGCTCAGTCTGCGGCCGAGCTGCCGCTCCACAGAGCACCCCTCCCCTGAAGCATTGTTGTGAAGACGTACTGAAGTGGGAGTGTTGGAAATGGTAGGAAGTTCGGGAGGGCAGGTTTCTTATGTATTTTCCAGTTAAATTACATTTCAATTTTATATCACAATACCACAGCCTCAGTTATGAAAATGCTGTATGCATCAAAAATATATTTGTTTTTGCATTAGAAGCTCTAGTAAAACCTCTACCAATCCTTTTTTAAATAAAACTGTCACTTTTTGAAAGATGAGTTAACAAAATATCCCCATACTTCAACAGCTAAATCAGAAATCAGAAATGTGTGAACATACAAGAATGGACTTTTGATGGTCTGATGCAGCCAGGAATTCTGAAACCTGTCAAAATCAAATGTGATGAAAAAAGGGGAAATAAAGCAACCAAAAAGATTTACAATGATAGCTCCTCAGCCTGATTGCTGCCTGCCACGCCCTGCATTCAGCCGAGGTATCACATCAATCCCTTTCTGACGTTTCTCAGTGTTCTCGTTTATACATTTTTGTTAGTGAATGTTGGTCTTGCTTTCGCACAGTTTTTCCGGTTTTGTGCATTTCTCTCTTTCATGACTTCTCTCTAACCTGAACCGTATCATTGTCAAAGCCCCTGGAGCTGAGAACATTCATACCAACCATGCTCCACAAGAGAAGTGGGGGGG